TTTTGGGGTTCCCAGCACCTCAAGCCACAACAAAAGTAGAGACCACCTAGGCTCCATTCTAACCCCTATTTTGGTTCCGCCTATATATGTAAAACTCTATTGCCCATATTCTACAGGAAGTCTTTCCCAACCTCTCTAATGCCTTCCCTCTTTTAATTATTTCCTATTTAGCCTGTACAGTTTGTTAGTATGTATTTGTTCATTTGTTGTCTTCCCCATTAGATTATGAGCTCCCTGAGGATAGGGAATGCCTCTTTTTTGTATCCCCAGACTTAGCACAGTGCCTGGCACATAGTAGATGCCTAAATATTTCTTGACTGATTTTTCACCTAAGAATGATGAATCCCAGTGGCATCCTTTCCCCTGCTGAAGCTGTTTCTGGTCATGAATATGTGCTGAAAAACCTCCCTCCCTGACCCACTTCCTGCCTTTGCTGTTCTTACTGCTTCCTAATCTCCTCATGGGAATTCTCTGACATATTTAACCCCTGGAATTATATCAGGTGGTTTCCCTTCCCTACTCTCCCACCCCCACTTCCTAATCCAAGGCAAAAATAGTCAGGACAATGGTAGACACACTAGTTCATAGATTTACAGCTGAAAGGGCCTTTTAGAGGCCCCTTAATTTCTTCATTGTACAGCAGAGGAAATTGAGGCCCAGAGAGGTTGACTGGCACAAATTCACATCAACAGTAAATTTAAGAGCTGAGATTTGAACACAAGCCTTGTGATTCTAAATCCATAATTCCACTATATCACACTGTTTTGTTTTGTTTTACTGCCAACTCCTGCAGGTATTGGATTCTAACAGGGAACTTTCTCTTGTGTAAAAAACAAAAGCCAAAAACATTAAGACTAAATAGTTCACTAAGCAAATAACACAGTTAATGTAAGTGATAAGCAAGTTGAAATTAAACATTCTCTCTGTTAAGCAATATATATGAATGATCTAGGTGAGTCATCTAGTATACACAACTTTTTCACACAAAACGTCTTTTCTAGGTACATCCTACATCACATGAGTAACGAAAAACAAGGATACACATCATTCGTATCTTCTCTCTCCAACTTTCAGAATATATAGCCCAATTTCTATCCAGGGCCTTTCTCGATTACTCTAGTTGTCAATACTCCTGCCTCGCCCAACCCAGGGCAGGCCACCCTGCCAAATTTGTATTTCCTAATTTATGTTTGCATATTTAGTATGTGAAATATAGTGCAAACACCACTGGATTTGTAGCCTGAGGCCCTGGAAAAGTTCAAATCCCAGTTTTACCAGCTATTAACTGCATGACTTCATCTCTCAGTGACTCCTCTATAAAATGAAGGGGCTGAAGTAGATAACCTCTAAGGACACCTATAGCTCTAAATCTATAATTTTACTTGCTTATTTGTGTATATGTTTCCTCCTAATGGAGTGGAAGTTCCTTGAGGGGAAGGACTGTTTCATTTTTTTTCTGTATCTTGAGTGCCTAGCACAATGCCAATGCAAAGCAAGTACTTAATAAATGCTATTGAATGAGTGAATGACTAAAATCAAGGCTAGAATTATTTTTTTAACACATTAACAAATGAGAATATTTTCTGATTATGAAAATAATATCTTCCTGTAGAGACTAAGCTAGTTTTCCCTCAAAAAGTATTGTAACTATCCTCAAAAACCTAGTTGACTCAGAAAACAAAGTCTTGGTCTTTTGATGTAGCTTCCTGGGAGCCTAATTACAAAAGGCACCGAACTAGGAGGTGAGAGTTGTCCTCCCCTAGGTCTGCCTGGTGTTTAAATATAACCAACACAGAGGCAGGGAAGCTGAACTCAGTTGAATCAAGGCTGTAACCTTGCTGAGTATTCTTTCCGTGCTGGCTAAGCAGACCTCTTTTTCTAACTATTAGATGGTTCTATTAAGTGTCTTATTTGGTTCCAGTTCAGAGAACCTGAAGCACCAGACTAGCCTCTGAATTAGTTCTGGTCTAGAACAATTGTGTTCCTCTACAAAAGTCGTATTTGATATTTAAACGTAGATCCACAGGTGTGGGTACTCCCTCAGCTGAAATGAATTGAAATATTTCCATCAGTAGACAGCCTTCATGAGTTTCTTCAGTCAACCGACATGAAATCAATCTGTTTCTGAACCCCACTTCAAGCCATTCCACCTGAGTAAGGGGAAGCTAGGTACTCAGTGGATAGAGTGCAGGCCCTGGAGTCAAGAAGACTCATCTTCCTGAGTTCAAATCTAGCCTCAGACGCTTTTTGGCTGTGTGACCCTGGCCAAGTCACTTAACCCTGTTTGCCTCAGTTTCTTTATCTGTAAAATGAGCTGGAGAAGGAAATGGCAAACCACTCCAGAATCTCTGCCAAGAAAACCCTAAATGGGGTTACAAAGAGTCAGACTACTGAACGACTGACTGAACAAGACTCGTCAGAGCTTGTGGTCTACTGACATATCCTTTAAGAATTCAAGGTCATTTCCACACTATGATGAAGAGTTAAAGTAGGTTTTTAGTGGAAAAATGCATCAATAATTCCTATATTCATTGTCCCTGATGAGGAGGTGACCTTTTTTTACTGAGGCCAACCCCTCCACATATGCCCTTGACCTTATCCCCTCATCTTTTCCAGAAGATTGCAACTCCAACCATCTCCTCTCTCTTCATCTTTGACTTAAATAGTTCCTTCACTGCAGCCTTCAAACATGCACATGTCCTTCATCTTTAGAAAAACTTCACAGATCAAACTCTTATCCTGGATCTATCTCCTCTCTGGACTTTCAAGACACTATTCTCTCTTAGTTCCCCTTCCAATTTACTCACTCTTTCTTAGTCTCTTTTACTGGGTCATAATTTAAATCAAACCCCCTAAATGTGAGAGTTCCATAAGGCTATATCCTAGGACCCCTAATCTTTTCTACCTACATTCTCAGAGAACTCATCGTCTCCCATAGGTTTAATTATCTCAATGCTAACTCTCAGATTTCTATAGCCAATCCCAGTCTTTTCCCTCAATTTCAATTCTACATCACCAATTATCCATTGGTTCTTTCAAATTTGATATTGACAGATTTTCAAACTCAACATGTCCAAAACTGAACTCATTATCTTTTCTCCTAAATCCACTCATCTTCCAAACATTTCTAATTTTGTCCAAGATACCATCATTCTTCTAGTCTCCTCAGTTCATAAATTGGTGATATCCTTGACTCTTCACTCTCCCTCACCCCAAATATCCAATCACAATCAATTTCTACCTCCATGCTATCTCTCATAATGGACACTTTTTGTTCACACAGATACCATTTTAATTCAGGCTCTTATTATCTCTCACCTAAATTACTACAATGGCTTTCTACATGAAGCCTTTTTTTCTGATCCCCTCAATTGCTAGTGCCCTCCCTCTCAAACTACAGTGTACTTAACTATTTTATATTTGTGCTCTCTGTCCTTGTTATCTCCCTTATTAAAATATAAGCTCTTAGCTTGTAAGGGTTGTTCCATTCATTGTTATTTGTAACACCAGTGCCTAGTATAGTGCCTGAAACATACGTATGTAATAAACACTTGTTGATTGATTGATAAAAGATCCACACAATTAGAAATTGAATCTCTTAGTCTTTTTATCTCTTGAATTCTCTTTAAAGTGTGTGGCTTCTCCAGCTCTGAGGACCTTCATACTGAATCCTACACCTGTTGCTGATGGTTTATAGCTATTCCCCCCCCAACTTGCCAATCTACACTGTGCCTAGTTTTAACTCTGGTGACAAAGGGAAGGAGACCCTGGGGGTGAATAATAGTGACCACAGAGATCAAAATCTCCATAAATTTGGTTCCAGCTCTGCTGCTGATGTCAATCCTTAAAAAAGACTATTACTTTGATATTGACAGATTTTCAAACTCAACATGTCCAAAACTGAACTATTATCTTTTCTCCTAAATCCACTCACCTTCCAAACATTTCTAATTTTGTCCAAGATACCATCATTCTTCTAGTCTCCTCGGTTCATAAATTGGTGATATCCTTGACTCTTCACTCTCCCTCACCCCAAATATCCAAACACAATCAATTTCTACCTCCATACTATCTCTCATAACGGACATAAAAACATGAAATCCTTTGGTTTATGCCTATCAAAATCCTTCCCACACCTAGATTTTAATAGCAATGTTGCTAATAATTCCCAAAGACTTAAAAAAAATCTAATGAAAAGAATAAATAAGCAATTCAGAAGTAGACTCTAGTTTTGGAGTTGTTATGCCTTAATCATTTAAAAGGAATTGGTTTCTGTTGATGCTGTTCATTACCTTTATGTTAATTTATATGGTGATATGTTAGCTTTTTTTCTTCTGTCTTAAGGAGTCTTTTGTTAAAAATAAATAGACTTTGCTGCTTTACAGAACTAATCTTCTTTAAGAGTGAGGACAAAAGGAGAAAGAAATGGCATAGTGAAGAGAAAGTGTCCTTATTGCAAACGTGGATTGTTATTTGCTTATTTTGCTTATTTTCAAAAATAACTATGTCAAAACAAGAGAGAATTTTCATAAAAGTTTTCCAATTCTTTAATTGTTTATGGTTTTTGAAAGCATTTCTTTACAGACAGACAATATATATGGCTGATCAAAATCAAATTTAACTTTTTTTTTTAGCCTTTGGAGATAAAAGAAAAAGGCTTCGTTTTATGAAATTTCCTGCAGAAAAATTACATATTTTTAAATTCTTTGTTTTGATAAGTTTATATCACTAGATATTTTTCCTCAAAAAAAATGTAGTGTGAATTAAGTGATCACAGTTGCAATTTCTCAGCAAAACTCACTAAATCGAAGCATGAAATTTAAGAGCAGACAGTTCATCTTACATATGTTTAGATGGCATAATGAAGAATCTAGGTTCATTTTCCTAATTTTTTTTAAGAGTTCTGACCTACTTTGCAAGGAGTGTCAGGAGAAGGGGATGTTGAGAGGCCAAGTGGTTAAAAATAAGCCAGCACTGCCTTTCTAAGTGCTAGGAGGGACAAAGTTCTCTCTTCTTTGAGGGAACAACTGAGGAAGTGACTGGTTGTCCTGCTACAGAAAGTGGTAAGCCTGCTGTATAGGAATTGTGGTTGATAAATGAACTAGCCTTAAGGTAGAAAGGAAAGAATGTGGGGTAGAAGAAACCCAGGGACAAAATAGATAAACTAGGCTGGGTGCTATACTCATCATTGAGTTCTTTTGCTCAAGGGACAAGGGATCTCCTTTCCTTGTACTGTCATCATAACTACTAGTGAGGAGTAAATGCGACCAACATGAGGGGGTTATACTTCCTCTTAAAAAGTGTGCCATCTCTGTATCCCAAAGAAATCGTAAAAAAGGAGAAAGGACCTACATGTACAAAAATATTTATAGCAGCTCTTTCTGCGGTGGCAAAGAATTAAAAATTAAGGGGATGCCCATCAACTGGGGAATGGATGAATAAGTTGTGGTATATGAATGTAATGGAATACTATTGTGCTATAAGAAATGATGAACAGGCTGACTTCAGAAAAACCTGGAAAGACCTATATGGTCTGATGCTGAGTGAAGTGAGCAGAACCAAAAGAACATTACACACAGTAACAACCACGTTGTGTGATGACTAACTTTGATAGACTTAGCTGTTCTCAGCAATGCAAGGATCTAAGACATCTCCAAAAATCTCATGATGGAAGATGCTATCCACATCCAGAAAAAGAATTATGGAGTTTGAATGCAGATCGAAGCATACTATTTGCTCTTTTTTTCTTCTGTTTTGTTCCCTCTTTCTTGTGGTTCCTCCTATTGGTTCTAATTCCTCCTAGCAACATGACTAATGTGAAAATATGTTTAATAGGAATGTGTAGAGCCTATATCAGATTGCACACCATCTTGGAGAGGGAAGTGGGGAGGAAGAGAGAGAAAAATTTAAAACTCAAAAGCTTATGGAAGTGATTGTTGAAAACTAAAAATTAATTAAGAAAAAAAAAGAAAAAAGACATGCCATCCTCATCACCAGCACTCACCAATTTTAGAGCTGGGGACACATGCAATGATAGCAGCAATCGGTAAAACCTGTCTAGCAATACATAGTGGAAACACAATATTGAACCTGACTTCTGGTTCCCATTTACAGAGAAAGATGGGTCAGTGAGCAAAAGTCTGAATAAGTATCAGGTTAAATTCTCACTAAGATATTACCTATGAACTCAGATGAAATACTTTTTCAAAAACTTGTTTTAAGTGATAAAATATCGAGAAGCTTCCTAGGCTAATTAAAGTGAGGCAGGCACACATAGCATTATGGATTCATTGCTGGATGATCCAACCCACTTATTTTATTGATGAGAAACTGAGGCCAAGAGAAGTAAAATAACTTGGCAAGGTCACCAAGCCAGTAAATGCCTAAGGCAAGGCTTAAACCTAGGTCTCCTTGACTCTTAATCTATCAGTCTATCCACTACAATTTAACTGTTTTTACTTCTTCAAGCTCATAATATTTTATCTCAAGTGTTCACTTTTTGCTAATATTCAACCTACTTGAAGGAATGTTCAAAAGTGCAAACTTCGATAATACAAGCAACTCCTTTCATTCTAAAATTATTAGTTATAATTAATTAGTAATTAATTTCTATTCTAAAAAGTATCATCCACAAAATCCCATATCCTACTTCTTTCTGTTTCAATTCAGTCTTCCTACTGATAAAAGAGAATCTAATACTCAAATTAATCTTACCCCTCTGGACACTGAGACTTCTGAGAAGCACTACATTCTTCATCTACCCAGAGGCTTTCTCCTAAAAAGGTGAAATCAAAATGTTTAGATATCAGCAAAGCAGAAGATAAAAAGAAAATGCATAGATAGCGTACTTCATCTTAGCATGGAACTATTTTATTTAGGGCACTCCCTGAGAATAAAGTATTTTACTACAAAGCTATAATGAAGATATAACAACTGGAGCTTTTCTTGGGTAAGGGGGATTTCCAACTCAGTGCCTCCCTGTTCTTTGCTCATTCTGTGCTATGCAAAGCCAACCCCTCCAATTCCACCTCTCTGCTGTAGTTCATCTTTCTCTCTGCCTTACAGCCATCTTCTCCCCATCTGCTTTCCCATCACCTCCCCACTCAGCTTCCACCCCATTCCCACAACATTACACTTGCTCTGAGATGTCAAAGCTCATTAGCCATGACACAAGGGATGCGATTTGGATTCTCCCTTGGCTAGCTGTATCTCATTAGGAATGATTGTCTTTTGTGTGCCTCCTCCTCTCCCCAACCTCCAAGTGATCTCCATGTGCCAGAACTCCTGGTTACAACTAGGAGGAGGAGACAATTTTTTCTCGAGAAAATGAATGCAATTTAAATTATTAACACACACAATTTATTGCACGGCATACAATGGCTCAGCAGAGATCAGTCACCTTATCTGATTAACTACTTATCAAAAAATAGTTTTGAAAGGAAAATAGTTCTGAGGAAATACAAGGGCTGAATTTTATTTCAGGAAGATTTCAGCTATAATGAGCTAGCATGCAAGCCTGATTTTAAAGTATTGGGTTATTTTAACCACCGTGAAAATGGGTTTAAAAGTATATTGAGGGAAAAAAGGAGTTAGTATGAAAAAGGATAGAATGGATGAGGTCAAATGGAGAATTTAACAATAAATCTTAATATCCAAACTTTGCCTCTTCCCGCTAAAGAAAAAGCCTACGTAATATACACCGTCAGAGCTTTATGTTACTACCAATTTGGTGCCCAGGGCAAGCTTCCCTAAACATTCCAAGAAAAAACAGTATAAAATATACCCTCAAATCAAATTTGTTTTAGTCAAATGAGGTTTGGAGGTAAAAAGAAGAGATCCCAAGATAACTTAAAGGTATAGCTTCAAATAATTTTTGTGTGACAAATTCAGTTTCAGTCAAAGGAGAGATTACAGGGCAATAGGAGGTGATCAGCATGCCATCTAGTTGCTTCCTATTCTAATTAGTTATTCTTGCTAACCAGTTGCTAAATTCAGTTGTTTATTGCTGAAGGAATTTAAGTACTGTAAATGCCCTTGAAATTTCAGTGGCATAGAGCAAAGCTCTGGTCACATTGCCCAGGTTATAACTCTGCATACTGTATTTCTTCCAAAAATTAAATGAAAAGCCAAATGTCTTTCCATTCCAAATGAGTACTCAAATATTCCACAGCCTGTCCTAATTTTCATACCTTATTATTAAACTAAGATATTCTCTTGTGTGTCAATCTTTTTTCAGGATAAAACAGAAGAAAATGATTCTATTTGTTCTTTTACTTACCTTTGCAAACACTGTTATAATCAGTACAACAGTCTTTTCTCTCCAAGCAGTCGTCAGAGCAAGAACAATGCCCGTCAGCTAGCCGAGTCTCTCCACAGCGAAATACATTACATTGCCATATCTGAGCTGCAAATTTCATAATTAAACTGAGTATTTAATAAATTAAAGTTCACTATAAGAAAATATGAATTTTATTTCAATAATTACTTAATTATCTACAATAATTAAGGACAAAAGATAATACAGAACTGTTCAACCACTAGCACTACTAATTCACTAATCTCCATGGGCATAGATATCAGGGGAAAGGCTCTATTTTGCTATAAGGCAAGCTTATGAGTATTGGGTAACCCTCTAGTCACTAATCTATTCTCAAGGTAGGGATGAGGAAATTGGTTCTGGGGAATCTTTATGATTCCAGACTACTCAAGAGAAGCCTCAACCAGCCCAGTCAGTCAGTCAATAAACACTTATTAAACACTTACTAAGTGTCAAGCCCTATGCCAGATGTTGGTTAGTCAGTCAACAAACACTTATTAAACACTTACTGTATGTCAAGCACTATGCCAGATGTTGGAGATATAAAGGAGGTAAAAACACAGTCCTTGTCCTCAAAGGGCATTTGTCTCCCAATTTCAATGGGGATACAATATGCAAAATATATTGTGTAATTAGAAAGCAGTAGAAGAGCCTTTAAAAGTTTCCTACAGAAGGTAGGAGGTGAGCTGAGTCTTGAAGAAATTGGGGACATCCAGGAGGTAGAAGTAAGGAGGAAAACATTCCAGGCATGGGAGATTGCCGGTGAAGAGGTTAGAGTTTATTGAGTGGAGGGGTGTAACGTGGTCATAACTGCAATGATTTAGGAAAATCACAGGCAAGCAGCAGAATTTCTTCATCTCCTAATCACTTCTCAGCACCTTGCAATCTGGCTTCTAACCTCAAAATTGCTCATCCTTAACCCTTCTTGACCACTCTTGACCAATGTTCTCCCTGGGTTTCTGCAATGCTGTTCTCTCCTAGTTTTCCTCCCCTCTTTCTCACCAACCCATCCTTTTTAGTCTCTTTTTGTGGATCATCAACCCCAGCCTGATCTCTATGCATGGGTGTACTTTCTATGCTGGGTATACCTCCATCCTTGGTCCTCTTATATTGCTACACTCTTTCTCTTGGTGTTCCCATCAGCAACAATGGATTTAATTATCATCTCTATGCAGATAACTAATTGCTCTTTCTGTCCAGCTCTGGTCTCTCTCTTAAATTCTAGTCCCACATCATCAGCTCCCTGATAGTTATCTCCACCTGGATATCATATTGACACCTCAGAACCAAACTCATGATTGTCCCACCAAAAGCCATGCCTCTCCCTCCCATGCCCCCTTTCTGGGCATCACCCAGGTTTACTCTTCCCCTCTACCCTGTATAGCCAATCCATTACCAAGGGTTTTTGATTCCGATTTTAAAACATCTTGTGCATCTTGCCCCTTCACTGTACTCCCACAGTTCCCACCCTTCTTCAGCTCCTTATTACCTCAAACCCAGACTATTGCAATAGCGTCTTAATTGGTATCCCTGTCTCTCCCTTGTCAATCCATCCTCCACACAACTGAAAAAACCGATATTTCTAAAGCACCAAATACCACTCCCCCACTCAAGAATCTTCAGCAGCTTTCTTTTGCCACAAAGATAAAATATAAATGGCCCTGTCTGGCACTGAAAGCTCTTTGCAACTTAATTCCTGCCTATCTTTCTAGACTCAATTCACTTTTACTCATGTACTCTTTGTTC